TGGGGGTGGGAGGGAAAAAGGGAAAAACTGAACCAAACCAAAGAAAATGAACTCAGAGAAACTGAAACGGAGAAGGAGCCATTGTCCCTTCTGAAGTTTTCCAAAGCCAGGGAGTAGCAAGTAAAAGTGTGACACACAGAACCAGACGCCCCATGGGGGTGGGAGGGAAAAAAGGAAAAACTGAACCAAACCAAAGAAAATGAACTCAGAGAAACTGAAACGGAGAAGGAGCCATTGTCCCTTCTGAAGTTTTCCAAAGCCAGGGAGTAGCAAGTAAAAGTGTGACACACAGAACCAGACGCCCCACTGAAATCCCTGTCGGTTTCTTCTCGGTAATTTCTCCCTCGTCTTTTCCCAGCGAGGGGCAGGAAGGACTTTCCAAAATTAAATTAAAAAAGAATTAAAAGGACAAAACATTATTATTTCATTTCAAAAGGAAAAAAAAAAAGAGAGAGAGAGAGAGAGAGATGAGAGAACAACCCTCCCCAAAATCCGGGAGGGGCGTGAGGTGGGAAGGAAATGGGATTTGATTTAAAAGAAAAAAAAGCCAAAACAAACCAGACTTTTATCTCCGAACGTGTCATGAACCAGGACTCTCCGGAGGGTTTGATGGTTAACTGGTGACGTAGTGTTTAGCAGAAGGTTGGCCGTAGACCCTATAGAAATCCTGCCGTCCGTGCTGCTGCGACGCGTCAATCCATTCCCTCACGGCAAGTCCCGGGAGCGACTGGGGGACGGTGGGCGCAGGCGGGAGCGGGTGCGAATACTCCTGCGAGGAGACTGTCCAGGGGAAGTGCCCCGACCTGGGGTAGGGCTGGTGCCCGCTGTGGTTGGACACCGAGGAACAGTAACAGTTGTCCACTGAGCAGACGAGGATTTTGCGCCCGCCGTACTGGGAGAGCACGGACTGCTGAGATGACGTGGTGTTGGGATAGTGAGATGGGTTGAAGACGGAGCCCGAGTGCACCGGCTGCGGGCCGCTGGGAAGTCCAACAATGTGCTGCGTGGAGCTACAAGGCACCATGGCTTGTGCGGACTGCCCCTCGCCAGCAGAAGCGCCCTGGCTCATGTACTGGCTCGCCACAGTCCCGGACGATGGCTCTAGAAAGCTGCCCTCGGGGAAGGCGGTGGAGTGCTTGCGCTTCTCCGCGCCGGAGTTGCTGACAGTGCAGGGGTACATGGGGATGCTCTGGAGGAACGGGACCGGGGTGCTCAGAGGACCTGCACAAGGGCAACAGAAGCGCGTCCACGTCAGATGTCCCCCGATGGCCCTTCCCCAAGAGCACTGCGCCGCCCGTCCCAGCCCCGCTCCCGACACGTGCACGGGCCGAGCCTGCGCACAGCTCGCTCCCAGCGTGCCTGTGACCGTGATCCGCCGCAGAGCATCGCAGCGGGACAGCCTGGCTAGCAAAACCCAAAATCCCTGAGAGAGGGCTGGAAAGCTTCTGCAGGACTTGGTCCGCTCCCAGGCGGTCCCAGGCATGGGCTGTAGGCAAGGGACCGCATCGGTACCCAGCCGTCCCTTCCCGTGGGCTGAGCCCCCGTCTTCCCATGGACTTTCCCTGCTGACGGCCAGCCCCTCCGCGGTACCACCCCAAAGCACGGCCCCTTCGCAAGCCCCAAGCCCTAACCGGAAATCCGGGACACCTCCCCGACTTCCCCAGCAGTGCCGCAGTTTTCCACCAGCACCGCGGGGGCGAGGACGTGCTCGGAGAGGTACAGCGCGGGGCGGACCGACACGCGCCTGCAGGCTTCACCCACCTTCCAGCAACTTCCTGAGCTGCTTCTCCTTCTTGGCGATCTCGTTCAGGAAGAGCTTGGAGTTGAGGTGGCCAATTTTGGGTGGGGGCAGGCTGCCACCCGTACAGTTCTGGGTCCTGTTGGGGACCGAGGGCAGAGAGGAGAAGGGTGAGGGACAACACACACGCGGGTGAGGGTCGCGCTGCCCCCAGTCGCTCCCACTTCGGCTCCTTCCTCTGCACCCCCCCAGG